CAAAAGACAAAAGACAAAAGACAAAAGACAAAAGACAAAAAAAAAAAAAAAAAAAAACATTTTATTTTGCACCACCATGAGAATTTTCTGCATGCCTGCTATTCTTGTTGTCTCTCTCATAGTGCCCAAATAAGAAAGGAAAAATTGCAGCTGAATGCCATCATTGCTGCTCAATCACTGTGGGATTAAAAGCTGATATGGTAACTATATGACATAAGATTGAGCAAGTCATCCTGAACCTGTTCTTCAATAAATGAAGACAGTAACTGGGATTTGGGGAGGTCAAAATGAGATATAAAATACTTAAATAAGCACAAAGCATGCATTCAGTAAGCTTCTGTTAGAGCACTGCACTAGATCAGGCTATCTGAAGGAACACTCATCAATTAAACAACATATTGAAGCCAAAAAGAAACAGCTACTACTAATTCTTTGTACAATTGATAATTTATGTTTTATTATAATATAAAAATTCACTGCCTGATTCTTGGATCTGAAAGCCTTCAACCAAAGTGGCATAAACCTGTGAAAGTACTGCTCCTACCACACAAAATCATTATTTCCATGGAGTCACACCATTCCTGCTTTACAAAGGTCTATAAGCAACAGCATTTCACAAGAGAAACAGTCCTAGATAACAGCCCCCCTACTCTGGATTTTACTACTTTTCCTCTCCTCTGGAATAGAAACATTTACTGATTTTGAGGCTACACACAGGTAGAGCTCAGTGTGCACTCTGCTCTGAAACACTAACAGAAATTTGGGTGAGGCCCTTGTCCCTCTTTCTTGGGAATATTAATGCTACTGATGAAGTGACGAATACCTTAGAGACATCTATTACCTCACTTCTAAAATCTTTTTAAGGGAAAAATAGTAAATTTCCATCTCATAAGGAATTCCACTATAATAGTATCAGTTTTCAGTACCCATTTTATGAGTAGAAACTTTAAATTAAGGGCCAGCCTGTGGCTCACTTGGGTGAGTGTGCTGCTGATAACACCAAGGCCACAGGTTCGGATCCCTATATAGGGATGGCTGGTTTGCTCACTTGGGAGAGCGCGGTGCTGACAACACCAAGTCAAGGGTTAAGATCCCCTTACCGGTCATCTTTTGAGGAAAAAAAAAAAAAAAGTAACTTTTTAGTAATTAATAGTTTCTACCCTTGCCACCAGTAGTGTCATTTTTAAAGGTAAAGGAGGTTAACCACGCTCTCCCAAGTGAGCAAACCAGCCATCCCTATATAGGGATGGCTGGTTTGCTCACTTGGGAGAGCGCGGTGCTGACAACACCAAGTCAAGGGTTAAGATCCCCTTACCGGTCATCTTTTGAGGAAAAAAAAAAAAAAAAAGAAAAGTAACTTTTTAGTAATTAATAGTTTCTACACTTGGCACCAGTAGTGTCATTTTTAAAGGTAAAGGAGGTTATTTTCATGGATAAAAAATCTGTCTTTCTCCATGCATTAAAACAGGGGCTGACAAATTACAGCCCACAGCCAGCTGTCTGTTTGTGTAAATAAAGTTTTATTGGAATGCAGCCTAGCCAGCTATTTGTATTGTCTATGATAGCTTTTATTCAGCAGAGTTGAACAGTTGCGACAGGCACCACATGTGGCTAACAAAGCCTAAAACATTTACTATATGGACCTTTAAGAAAAAGTTTGCCAACCCCTGCATTGAAATATTTCAATGCTGGGGCCGGCCCGGTGGCGCACTGCTGCAGTGCGCCGCTTGGGAAGTGTGGCGGCGCTCCCGCCGAGGGTTCGGATCCCACATACAGACCGGCCGCTCACTGGCTGAGCGAGGTGCGGGAGCAACACCGAGGGTTGCGATCCCGTAGCCGGTCCCGGTCCGGTACGGGCGCGACACTGAGGGTTGCGATCCGCTGCCGGTCACAAAAAAAGAGACAGAAAAGGGAAAAAAAAAAAAAAAGAAATATTTCAATGCTGGGGCCGGCCCGGTGGCGCACTGCTGCAGTGCGCCGCTTGGGAAGTGTGGCGGCGCTCCCGCCGAGGGTTCGGATCCCACATACAGACCGGCCGCTCACTGGCTGAGCGAGGTGCGGGAGCAACACCGAGGGTTGCGATCCCGTAGCCGGTCCCGGTCCGGTACGGGCGCGACACTGAGGGTTGCGATCCGCTGCCGGTCACAAAAAAAGAGACAAAAAAGGAAAAAAAAAAAAAAAAGAAATATTTCAATGCTATACCAAATAAAACTTGATTTGAAAGAAAACTAAGTGAGAACACAAAAGTACAAATGACATGCTTGCTCTGATTCAGGCACTTTCAAGATCATAGTTTATTTACTATTTCAGATAAAAAGATAGTATACATATTAGAGAATCCCTTAAAATTCAACTCTAGAGTTATACACCATCTAGTACTTTTGCATTGAATGTTAACCAAAAAAATCTCTAGACACCTGAAAGCCCCACTATTAACATGAAGTATAGTAATAAAAAATTTAACATTTAATTTGTTCAATGTATATTTACATTATGAAACCAATGGTATGATCAACAGTGATAAAGAAATAGTAAAAATAAACTTTAAAAAGCAAAGGTTTATAGACTTACAATGTGCTACTTCTCATAATTGTATATAAAATATTAAAAGATAGCAGAGCTTTCTGTTACAAAATTCTTAATCATCTGGGTTGTAGTCATTACTTGCTACCAATTTACATGCAACATCTGCTAGAACTGACATTTGATATTTTCTTTCCCCAAGAAAGTGTAAAGAGATAAATGACATTTCAGAGCAGACATTAATTTAATTGTGGACAGAAAAAGAAAAAACTGTACTCAAGATTAGTACTGGTCACAAGCCTCTTCCCTATAGAAATTATAATACTAGTAAGACCAGGGGGGAAAAAAAAAAATCCAAAAAGGAGACGCATAGGCAGAGGGCCATGAACAGCACAGCTCAATAAATTCCGGAACAAATCAAACACACACCTTTTCTCTCTCCTTCAATAATGAGAGGTCTGTTTTGCCATCAAATAACAATGACTGAAGCACGTGAGGGGCACCAGGTGTACAACTAATTAAGTCTTGCAAAATACTAAGATGGGGCAGAAGTGGCCAGAAGAAGGGGCAATTTATATATAATTCAAACTATATACAGTATAACTGGAATGCAGCCCATTCCAAACTGGCTTTGTGAAACAATTGGACCTTTATGATTTAATAGTTAAAATTATAACAAGTGTAATAATACAATAGATTTACATGAGAAGCAAAATCCAAGGGGCATTTTATATTAAGTATTTGCTTTTTCAATTTAAAAATAATTTTGCTAAGTATACATCTCAACTAAGGTCTGTGTATAAAATGTCCTAATAGATACAGATACTTACCTTTGGTGAGTTGAAGGCCTTTTTGTGACTTCTGTCTGAACTGTAGGCAGAATGCTAGGTATACATGCACATGTGGGAAAACTCAAGCTGAGGTAATACAAAACTGGGCATGTCAGGAGACTGGAGGTACTTTAAAAGTCAAAGTATACCAGAAACCCAAAACAAAAACAGTGAGAATGGTGACAGGGAAAGGAATGGCAAAAGAACTTTTTTAAAAACAGAAAGAGGAAGGCCTCTCGTACCAGCAGAATCCTGCATACACACAAAAAAGAAAAAGCCACCCACCATTTCATAAAACAAAAGCCGATTATAGTGTCAGAAAGTACAAATTAGGGAAAACCAGAAAGTCTATAGAAGAAAAACTACTGGTTCACATGAGAGAAAGAAGAACGTTTCATTCTGAGCAGTTACTTGGTGAATGCTGCCACCACCGCCCATAGAACCTCGTTAGTACCAGCCTTCAGACATTCCACTTCAGGGTCTAAGTCGAGAAGCTGCCGCACTCTCTTGGTGGCTAAATCATACTGCTCATCCAGAAGAGGAGCAAAAGCATTCTCCAGGACATCCGAGGCATGGGCTAGGTAAATGAGGGCCAGCAAGCGCTTGTCCATGCGGTGAGGGTCATTCACCCATTTGTCAAGAACAGCCTCTTGTACCTTCTTGATGAGGCGCTGCTTAATGTTGTTGTTAGTGAGAGGATGTGTCGTCATGTCAAAAAGTAGGAAGTTCTGTTTCTCTGTTGTCAATACACCCTTTTCCACCAGGTTTTTAGCTAACCGTTCCCGCACATTTCTTAACTGATAATGCAATTTTAATGGATTCCACGTCTCACCTAAAAAAAAGATTTCAGAAGTCAGAGATGATGGATTCTACCTGCTAATTTTGCAAAATTTTTATTCCATTGAAACAAATGGTAAAATTTAATTTTTTTCCAGAGAAATCAAAGAAAATCCAACAATGTTCTTCTCTCTAACTAGTTCTAGTCCCTAACTAGACTATGATCCCCTTAAAGGCCAGGCCTTCAGAGTCTAAAGACCTGGCACATTCTCAGGCACATTCTCACTCAAAAAACTAAACCGAAAGTAGTCTTCAAGCCACAGTCCCCCTAGGTCTAATGTGGAATTGTGCAAAATATTAAATCATGTTCCAGCCTCCCTCCAGCTGTTGTCAAAAAGCAGCCAACAGCAAATAAATTTCTCTACTGTTAAACAATAATCTACAACAAACAGACAAAAGAAAAAAAGTTTCCAGATTAATATGTTATTCCTATAAAGCTAGGACTGCCTATTTAGGCAATGCTATTCCCTGATGACAAATAACATAAAGCTAATTCTAAGAGGCAAAAAATTTTCACATTTTTTTATTTTTTTGTCTTTTGTCTTTTTCCGTGTCCGGCAACGGATCGCAACCCTCAGCGTCGCTCCCGCGCCTCGCTCAGCCAGTGAGCGGGAACCGGTCTGTATGTGGGATCCGAACCCTCGGGCGGGAGCACCGCCACACTTCCCAAGCGGCGCACTATCCAGTGCGCCACCGGGCCGGCCCCACAATTTTAATCTTACCATTTATGCATATACCCTTTTGAAACAGAAATGATTAATATAAAACCAAATAAATTCTTCACTAAAATAGTTTTTTTTTTTCTTTATAGAAGACTGGCAGGAAATATATTAATCTTGTTTATCTTTAGGATTATGACAGTTTTTCTTTTTTGTACTTTCTGTATTTTCTAAATGATCTCCAATGAACACATAACAATTTTTATAATTAAAAAGAAATACTAGGGCCGGCCCGGTGGCGCACTGGATAGTGCGCCGCTTGGGAAGCGCGGCGGCGCTCCCGCCCGAGGGTTCGGATCCCACATACAGACCGGTTCCCGCTCACTGGCTGAGCGAGGCGCGGGAGCAACGCCGAGGGTTGCAATCCCGTTGCCGGTCCCCGGTCCGGTATGGGGGCAACACTGAGGGTTGCGATCCGTTGCCGGACACGAAAAAAGTCAAAAGACAAAAAAAAAAAAAAAAAGAAATACTATAGTAATTTCCTAAATTAGAACATGTTAAAGATCAAGCACAGGTACCTTTCTTAAATGCAAAAGCTATAAGTTGAAATTTTATAATACTGAGAGAAAACTTTAAACTGCACTGTCTATTACAGGAGCCATTAACCACATGGAGCTATTAAATTTAAATTAATAAAAAATTCAGTTCCTCAGTTGCACTAGCCACATTTCAAATAGACAATAACTATACTGACCTGGTAGCACAGGAATAGAACATTTTCATCATCACAGAAAGTTTTAGTGGATTGCCTTAAAGTTTTAAGGTGCTACCTTAAAATACACACTATTCAGTTGGCCACAGACATCATTATTTTACTATATGACTTAATACTAAAGCGTATGGAGCTATGATAGAGTAGTCAATCCTGGACCTGCCCTCTCATCATAATTAGAAATTTGGATAAAATATATGAAACAACTGTTTTCAGATGCTGGCCAAAAAGCAGCCCAGAACTGTGATCCTTGAAAGAAAACTAAGTGAGCCCTAAGATTGTCCACGCTTACTACCTGGAGGTACATCCCGGACAGCAGAGATGGAAGGAAGACCCCAGGCAGAGTGCGGCAATCACACTGCGTTAAGAAGGCCCAGATCAGAGTTCAGGGCAGCCAAGGCAGAGTACTGGAGAAAAGAGGGCTATGCAGGAAAAGGGGTCTAAAATCAGCATAGTCTCTTGAGTCTTTGGCTGAAAACTAAGCCGCGCATGTTATGAGAAACTCCGCAAGGCTAAGCAAAGAACTACTACCAGAAAGCTGAACAATTCCAAGAGTTCACACAGAACTAGGAAAAACCTGAGCACCAACTAGCCTTAGTGGAAAGGCCTTTCAGGAACACCCAGGACATTCAGAATGTAATCCAGAAGGACCACACCTTAGTAGTAGGGCTAAACTAGACTTAAAGGCCATACTAGATCTGCCATAACAAGGCTTAAAAACAAGCTGGTCCACAAGTAACTGAACTGCCTACCAAAACAAAATTCAATACTCTTTAAGAAAGACCACAAAATTCAGCACTCAACAACTCAGCACTCACAATGTCCAGCATCCAATAAAAAAAAATCACTACACTTGCAAAGAAGAAAATGTGACTCAAAACTAAGGGAAAAAAGTCAATAGAAACAGTCAACTGAACCAGAAATGACAGAGATGATGGAATAAGCAAAAAAACACTTAAAACAGCTTAAATACTTAAATTTAAAGAAAACCATGTATACAATGAAGAGAAAATGGGAGCTATTCTTTAAAAAGAATGATCGACCTCAACCTGCCATTTTGCATTTTGTGATTTACTTTATAAAACTAGGGACTTTAAATACTGCCAAAAATTAAATGATGAAGGGTTGGTACCATAAATTACTAGTAATTAATGTATAGTACCATACATAACATATACTAATACCATAAACAACTAGTAATAATTGCTAGTAATTACCTCCTGCTTTTAAGAAAAACATAACTTTTTCAAATAAGAAGGCCTGACAAATCAGAGTCCACAAAAAAATAAAAATAAAAATAAAAATAAAAACAACCACTGCATTCAATTTCCTCAGTAATTTCAAAAAGGAAAAGAGCTGAAATATATTTGGGGCCACATCTGATTTTAAAATCTAGTAGTGCGAAAGAAAAACAACTGAATAATACACATAATCCTAGTTATTTCAATTTCTGGTGTTAAGCCCACACATGTATTTGATGTTGAGAAATCAGTAGGTTACTTGATGAGACAGTATAATATAACTAGCTGTAACAGCAGACTCTTGAACCAGATTAGCTGGGTCTGAAATCCAAATTTGGTCATTTCCTAGTTGTGCAGCCTTTGCAAGACTGCTTGACCTCTGTATATCGCCATTTCCTCATCTATAAAGTGATGATAACAACTGTGTCAAGCTCATAGGGCTATTATGAGGATTAAGTGAGCTACTATTATCTATCCATGTGCAGAATCAACATTCTGACAGAATTTACAATATTTATAATGTTCTAAGAATCATACCAGGCACCAAGAAGACAAGCATTAAGTAAGATATACTTCTCTAACCCTATAGGAACTTAAAATCAAGTGAAGGAAACAGATGGATAATATCACTAACTATACTGGCTAGAATTAAATGGGAACAGGGCCATAAGAACAATATATGAACAAGTGCCCAGTGGAATAAGAAATGACTTAGGTTTAATGTTAAGGGTTATCTTTAGGAAGTTACAGGCGAAAGGACATTCAAGCTAAATCTAGAAATCCAGCAAGATTCAACGTCCTCTAAAAGGGAGAGGCACCAGCATTCCTGTCAGAAGAAACAACACAGTGTGCTGTAGACTGGATGCCCGCTCAACCTCACTAAGCTTATTCCTCAATGTACATGTTGAGGGTTGGAAATCCTATTATGGTAACTGAAAGGTGGGGTCTTGAAGAGGTGATTAGATTTTAGAGCCGCGCTGTAGTGAATGGATTAGTAATGGCAGCTCTCTCCCCCCGCCCCCGCCTGCTCTGCTCTGCCAATTTGCAATGTGCTACCCTATCATTATTGAAGTCGCCACCAAAGAAAGCCTTCACCAGATGTGTTCCCTATAGCTCAATTCTAAGATTAATTAACTATGCATATAATAATTTGTACATTATCAAAGTAGTACTATCCCCTGGCAACTCTTATAGCTAACTAGGTATTATAGCCTTAAAATGTTTATGTTGTCATAAAACCAAAATGTAGCAGAACAAATGATTCCCAAGCCACTCAAATTTATTTTACCTTACTAAGTCACATAGGGGCAACTCTTATAGCTAACTAGGTATTATAGCCTTAAAATGTTTATGTTGTCATAAAACCAAAGTGTAGCAGAACAAATGATTCCCAAGCCACTCAAATTTATTTTACCTTACTAAGTCACATAGGAAAGGAATCTATGCCTCAGAGAACTTCTTAGTCATTTATTTTCAAACAATAGGGGGGAAAAAAATCAAGTAGATTATTCTGAGACCCATAGTTAAATTTCTCTATGCAGGCCTTAAAAAACAACAAAAATCCCTCTAATCCTGCTATATGATAACTTTTTTTTTTCTTTCTCATGGAAAATACATGGGATTAACAGTTCATGACTACTGTCTATGGTATTGAAGTCATACGAAGGTTTATCCTCATCTTTAGTTAAATCATACGTATTTCAACCAATGGAACATGTAATGCTTACAAAGTTCTTCAGAGAAATTTCTTAATTCCAAAGTACAATAACTTACAGTTTAATGTTGCCATTAAAAATGAGAAGACTCTAAACACAGACCCACCTTTTTAAGGTGTTCCATTTACAACTGGACCTTTTTAAGGGTAATCATTTCTGCCACAGAGGAAGTAATAAAAAGGGACCCAGCCATCACCTTTTTTTGTAGCAATTCCCTGGAAGAGGGCAAAACCCTGTGTGCTCACTCCAACAAAAAATAGATTATTCAGATCTCCTCAGATATTTGAAAAAATGAAGAAATCCCATAAGCAGACGGTTGAAACAGTATGGGAAATACCCCAAATGTTAATAGTATTTGTAGTATACAAAAAAAAGTACAATTGAATAACTGAGTGGTCAAAGTATCTTGTTATCCTGAAATTTCTTGCTTTTGATTTTAAAAGAATTAAATTAAGTGAAATCCAAACAATAAAGACATCCCTGAGTTTGGCATAATCAAGACACCAGTATAAATTGGGATGGGAGAAGGGTAGATATATTATTAGTGAAGAGAAGATATAATACAGGTTTAATCTATACTAGCTACCAAACATTTAGCTGCTTCAATTTAAAAATACGGAATACCTTTTAAACGCTTTGTAATAAATGTTTGATGAATGAATAGTGCTTGAATTCCTAGGTTAAAAGAATCCATGAACAACAGGTCCACACTATTATTCATCAGTCCCTAAGTTACTCTACGTATGTGAAAAAGACTTAGTAAGTTACACAAGCAAATTTAAAATGTACAGAATTTATTTATAGTTCATTTTTTTGTCCAGAAAATTGTGAGAAGTATAAATGAAGAAGAAAAGTTCTTCAAAGGTTATTTATGTCCACTGCCCAGCAATCACTTCAGTGGAGAATAACATACTGACAAGTACCTAAATAATCACTGCAAAGAACTTCCTTGACATCACGTTACAAAACTAAAAGCAGCTTTGTTCGTAAATTTATCAGCCTATTGACACCTTATGACCAAACTGACCGAGCACATGCCTTAAGATTTCAGAAAGCCAGAAACTATCCTTAAAAAGTTTAAAGACTACTGTTTTTAAAGTCTTTGCTTCAAATATATATATACTTACTAATTTTTCTAATTAATAAATAATATAGACAATGTTTAAAATTTGTTAATAGTTTTAACATGCATATATGTACAGTATAAATATTAATAAAATGAGCCCCTGGATATCCCCTACCCCGGGTAGTGAAAACTTTCTTTAGTAAAACATTCTTTGGTTTAATGGCATTCTTTATTTTTATATTAGAAGCCTCCTGTGTGCTGTCTCTGCCTCAGAGGTAACCATCAGATGACCTGTCAATCATTCTGTTCTTTCCCTCAACGATGCAGTACAGTATATAGTTTTGAAAACCATGCAGCAAGCACAGACTTAGCTGTGTCAGATCAGACTCACCAATTTTACCACCACCTCTAATCCCTCTGAACAGGAACACTTCCCTCTTTATGTCTCACTCTAACCCTTCAAAGGCCTAATCCAATGTCCACTTTCTTCCTCAAACTACTGAAGTTCCCAAGGATTTCTTTTTTCTGAACTAATGAACTTTCAGAGAACCACATTTTTAAACTCTAATCTGTTATGAAATTATTAGACATACACAACTGTTCCCCAAATGGATTTTAAGATTCTTTCAGTCTTTAAATACCTCCTTTTCTTTTTTAAGTTTCATAGCACCTATGTCAATATTGGTGCAATAACTGGTATTTGATAACTACATACTATCTTAAAACAACTAAAAATTTGAAAAATTTTAAGAATCAGCAAGCTGGCCACAGAACTGTACTTAAAAATGCTTAAAATGGTAAATGTTACATTATATATTTTGTCACAATAAAAAAAAATTTTTTTTTTAATAAGTAAGCTGTTATCTTGGCACTTTCACTAGGTGGAAAGCATGTATTTTCTTAATTTAAAAGAAATATGTTTTTCTCCTTCTACTCTATATCCCCTTCTTTTATGCTAAAATGGCAGTTCATTTCCAATAAATGTCAAGAACAAGCAACTGAAGTGCTACAGGCAATGTCCTGGATTGACATAAAACTCTCAGAATATTGTTTTAAAAAAAAACAACAAGGGGGCCGGCCCAGTGGCACACTGGATAGTGCACCGCTTGGGAAGCGCGGCGGTGCTCCCGCCCGAGGGTTCGGATCCCACATACAGACCGGTTCCCGCTCACTGGCTGAGCGAGGCGCGGGGGCAACACCGAGGGTTGCAATCCCGTTGCCGGTCCCCGGTCTGGTACGGGGGCAACACTGAGGGCTGCGATCCATTGCCGGACACGGAAAAAGACAAAAGACAAAAAAAAAAAAAAACAAGAAACACTTGCTAAGTATTAGCCTCATGTTTTACCCAAATTCCTAATCCAGATGAATACACTTCTACCAAATCCTAATTGTATTTAAACACTTTTCACTGCTAAATCAGGTGGAAACAGTGCAACAGCAGCCCAAGTTTAGAACCAAGTTCAGTCAGCATTTATATTGATTAGCTTCATTCATAAAATATTACTTGACAGGTAAATTTAAGAAGTATACAGTCATCTTAAATGTTGAGATTCAACCCCCTGGCGTGCCAAACTAATTTTTGGTATATAAACTGTCAAAGGAAATCTGGTGGTCTAAGATATATATTAAACCAAAGCCCAATGTGCCATCAGCAACGTTTATGAGTAAACGTATGAAAAAATCTCCATACTGCTAGGTAGCACCGAAGTGGCTATCAATAACAAGAGAATTAAGGTATAACCTGCTGCATTCCATAAAAAGAATCTTTAGCACTGCAACTTTTACTACTGAAAAAGTAACTGCAACTTTGGGAAACGCTTCTTTTGGCCAGTTGGGTATCTAATTACAAATTCTAATTTGTACCACCAGAACCAGTAATGAGTCAACACTGACAATACACCATGAGAATAACCCAAATTTTTTATCTAAAAAAAAATTACATTTGCTAACACTGAATTTACGAAGTTAACATTAATGCCCTGAGTCTATGTTAGATGGCTGCATGTCACTGACAGGCATAAATGGAAAGCTAACCCAGAAAGAACAATGCATTGAGCATTGTGGTGTATTATACTGATATGTGCTGATTAGGTGATTTGTAGATTATATAAACTAGTTTTAACTAAACAAACTCTCATCAAGTAGACAAAGTAATTTCTAAAAATTTTCATACAAGAAACTGCAATTGAAGACAATACAAATATATCACAAACACAAAGGGAGGGAAAGGGTAGAGTTAAAGTTTCTCTTACTCAATGAGATAAAAAGATCTTGTATCAGATCTACAAGAGGGTTGTAAAACAAAAATCCAAAATTAACAACAACCTTGTGAATAAATGTATATTATCTATTAGTAAAAAAGAATGACCTTGCCCTAAATGTAAAGGACCCATTAGTTAAGAATGGAGCATAAGTATTCAATTTTTAAATAAATATAAAAGCAAAAATCTTTCACTGACAGAAGAATATCCTCATAATAGGATTATTTTAGAAACTGCTTATTTCTGAGAAAACTGACATCATGTTAATTACCAATCTCTGATAACATCCGGTTGTTTTTAGAATATGTTTTGAACATGAGATGAAATGACAATAAATGTATGCAGAAGCTATGTTTTACATAACAAGAGAGAGAAAGAAGAACAAGATAGGTTCCATACTCAAGGTGCTTCCCATCTAGGAAATCAGACAAATACACAAATAACTTTAACATAAATGTCATAATCACTAATGCTGTCAATGAAATTTTTCAAGTTCTCCTCCCTAGGGTTGCACTTCACTGTCTCCTTGAAGTTAGGGGAGGCCAGGTGATTTGCTCTGACCATTGAAACAACGTGTTATTTGTGAGCAGAAACTTAATAGCCTGAGTAATCTGCTATGCTCTTCCTCCTTTCATGATAGTGACTGACATTGCTCCAGATGGTGGCAGCTCCATCTGCCTGGCTGGCAGAGTGAGAATCAAGTGGCCTGTGACTGACTGACAGCCTGAGTGAAAAATACACTGTTGTTTTAAGCTATCGACATTTTGGGGTTATTACCCCGGCTTAAACTAGCCTATCGAGGATACGGCAGTGTGTGGTAATTTTGATAAAGAATGATGGGAGCTCTAAGAACGAATATCACACCTCATTCAATATCTGCTCGGTCTTGTTAAAGAGGATAAAATTTTATAAAAACCATTATTTTCCCCACTCAGTGACTGATAACTTTCAAGTATGCCTAAATAATTAAACAAGCTTCTGGCTATTTGCATAAGTTCCTTTCAGAAGGATTTTAAACTTCTACATAATAAGAATTGAGTTTTTAGTTTATACACAGCAGCTTACCACTAAGTAATTCAATCCAGTTCTGGACTGTTTCTGGAGGTTGAGTCTCCTTAACATGTTTTAGAGCTTCATCAAGAAGAACATCACCTGTTGGAGCATCCGACTTACAGATTACCTAAAATGTAAGCAATAAGAATAAAATGATCCACTGATGCCTTTTTTATGACTCAATCCCATTAAGTGAAAAACAATTATGCAAACAATTATTGTACTTAAAGCCCCAAGTGTTCATGTACTATCAAAATTCAGATTTTAAATTAATTCTGTGTTAAAAAAATACAATATTTAACCTAACCAGACTAGCTATAATCATAAACAAAAATGAAGCTACTGTGCAATAATTAGTATAGAAAATGCTAGGACAGTTTATACTCACTGTAAACACCATTCACTGCTGAAACTTAAGCTATTTGATCCAGAAAATCATTTTTTAAATATTATTATTAGTTCCAGAAAGAAATTCAATTATATGTAAGAATTCAGTATCTGATAAAGGTGGCACTTCACATCACTGGAGACATGAAATTTTTCAGTAAATGTCATTAAATCAACTGGCTAACAAATTGGGAGCAAAAATTGACTTGGCTCTTCTGAGCTTATATCACAATAAAAGATAAAGACTTAAACAGAAAATATAATTTTGGGGGTGAGAATGGTTATATTTTAAAAATCGCCACCAGTAGCAGAAACCTTAAAGAAAATAGCAAGAGAGGGCTGGCCCGTGGCTCACTTGGGAGTGTGTGGTGCTGATAACACTAACGCCACAGATTCAAATCCCTATATAGGGATGGCCAGTTAGCTCACTTTGGAGAGCATGGTGCTGACAACGCCAAGTCAAGGGTTAAGATCCCCTTACTGGTCATCTTTTAAAAAAAAAAAAGAAAAGAAAAAGAAAGAAAATAGCAAGATGTTTGATAACATAAAATTTTTAAATAATGTGAATTTTTTTAAAAAAAATTTATTGAGATATAGAACCCATCTTAGGAATAGAAAAATCCAGAGGAAAGGATGGGTGAGGAAAATGCTATACTGCTTCACTCATGTTGTTGGCTAAGTCACAAATTTCTTGTGGAAATCCTATAATATCAAAATTCAATCTGTTATATTACTTTACAATATTAGCTATTAAAATGTTATGAAATTTAACAATACTGCCTTTAAAATGTGACAGTCCTCTCTTAAATTTGTCCTCAACAAAGTGTCCTTTATATTCTAGCTCAATCTTAGAAAAGGTTAAAAAAAATACATACAATATCTATGAGACACCATAACCTAATAGAAATATAATAAGAACCACAATGCAAGCCACAAATCTATTCTTAAATTTTCTAGTAGTTATATTTAAAAAGAAAAAGTGAAATTAATTTTATATATTTGATGTAACCAAAATCAGCCAAAATATTAATACGTAATATTTAAAAATTGAGATTTTTTTCCCCCATACTAACTCTTCAAAAATTAAGTGCATGTTTTTATTCACATATGTCTCAATTTGCACTAGCTACTTTTCAAGTGCTCCAATGTCTGGCTCATGGACAGGCACATGTGGCTAGTGGCTACCATGTTAGACAGTACGGATACAGAACATTTTCATCATGGAAGAAAGTTCCATTGGACAGTGCTATTCTAAACCATACTTTCAGCAGAGGACGAGAGAGCAAGGAAAAAAAAAAAAGGAGAACCTCATGAGAAAAAGTTATATGTCTATATATTGTGGCCATGCCACCACTTCTTACTTCCCACTTAGTCCTTATATCCACTGCAATCTGGCCTCAACAACCACCTCATGCACACCCACCTTGAGACAGGTCTTACATCAGGGTCACAATAACCTGGGTATAGGTGGATCACCTTTTTCTTATAAAAATTCTATTTCCTAAATCTCAAGCAAATGTATTCTTTTTCTCCATCACCTTTGCCATTATTCTAGTCTACCTAATCTGGTTCTCTTTCATCTGGATTAATTTAAGTCTCCTAACTAATTTTCCTAAGCTAGTTTTAGCACTTTCCAATCCATTCTCCTCACTAATCTTTCTAAAAGGCAAATCTTATCATGACATTCCATCTACTTCTGTTTAAAACTCTTCAATGACTCATATAATAAGTTCTAAACTCCTTTAAAAATATCAGTAATAAGTTGGGTCACAAATAACTATGCTCTATCCAAACATATAATTTCTATTTAGGTTACTGGTTTTTTGGTGGGTGGGGGTGGAGTTATCCCTAAATACGAACAGATAATCAAGGATGATACCATTTGAAGGAAAGCCTCGAGAACAGAAGAGACCAAAAGAGAGAAAAAATAAGAACTCTAAAGAAACAGAGATAATACAGATAAAGGAAATTTTCATGAGACCTGTATTCCTCAGAGATCTAAAAGAAGATATTACATCCATAAAATAAGAAACCACAATAAAGAACAAGAAAGTGCTTATGGAAATAAAAAACATTAGAGCCGCAATAAAATACTCCAGAGGGTTACAAGATAACCCTTTAAGAGTAGACAAGAAGATAAGAATAGCCAAGAAGTCCACATCCAACTTACAGTGTTCTAGAAAAATGGAGAGAAGACACCAGAAATACAAGAAAATTTTTCCAAAACCAAAAGATACACCTTTCCAGATTGACAAAACCCACACATAATGAATTAAAAATGACATATTACACAATTTCAGATACCAGTGATAACAGAAGATCCCAAATGCTTCCAGAGAGAAAAAACAAATATCACACAAAGAATGGAAATCAGAAGGGCACTACACTTCAACAGCAACTCTGTATACTAGAAGACAATGGAGAAATTCCTTCAAAATTCTGCAGGAAAATAAATTAAATCCAACATTCTAGTCTCAGCCAAACTGTCAAGTAAAAGTGAGGTATAACAAAGGTATTTTCAGGTATGTAGAGTGCCAAAACCGTTTCTTCCCAAAAAGATGGAAGGAAAAATGAGATCCAGGAAACAGCAGATTGAAAGCAATAAAAATGTGACAGGAAGTCCCAGAATGACAGCTGTGCTATAGAACCAGAGATAACCATCCAGACTGTCGAATCTGATGTATCTAAACATTTGAAAATTAATAATGATCATTTTTCTCTGATGAAGCATTTAACAAAAAAGTAAGATACCTACATAGAAAATTGAAAGAAAAAAAAAGAATTATTGACTCCGGGGGGGGGGGGGGGGAAAAAAAAAGGAAAAAATAAAAAAAAAAAAAAAAATTTTGCGCCCGGGGGGGGGGGGGGGGAAAAAAAAAGGAAAAAATAAAAAAAAAAAAAAAAATTTTGCGCCCGGGGGGGGGGGGGGGGAAAAAAAAAGGAAAAAATAAAAAAAAAAAAAAAAATTTTGCGCCCGGGGGGGGGGGGGGGGAAAAAAAAAGGAAAAAATAAAAAAAAAAAAAAAAATTTTGCGCCCGGGGGGGGGGGGGGGGGGGGGGGGGGATACAAGAAAGGAAAATATTATAAGAATATACTTTATGCAGAAAACAATATCAACATAGTTGTAATAATATAAACAATCATTACTGTTTTGCCAAAATTTTCTGGAATAATTCGATTAGAAAGATTGGAGGGCAGGGAGTAGTAAGTAGGAGAGCCAATATTCATCTATTCTAATAGAAAGTAAACAGTGTCTCAAACTGACATATCAAGAGATAGCAGTGGGGCTGGCCAGTTAGCTCAACTGGTTAGAGCATGGTGTTATAACATCAAGGTCAAGGGTACAGATCCCTGTACCAGCCAGCCTCCAAAAAAAAAAGAATAACTAAGAATGACAGTGAACTGAATGGTGGCCCCCCAAAAGCGTGCAAGTCCTAATCCCCAAAACCTTATTTGAGAAAAGGGTCTTTACAGATGACATTAAGTTAAAGATCACAAGATAAGATCATTTTGGAATTATCTATGTGGGCCTTAAAAGTGATGACAATACAAAGGGGAAGACAATGTAAAGACAGAGCAGAGATGGATGAGGTCAGAAGCCAGGCAACACCTGAAGCAACCTGAAGCTGGAAAAGGTAAGGAACAGAATCTCCCTTGGAGCCTTCAAAGAGAACACAGCACAGTTTGATTTCAGACCTCTGGCCAAACAGAACTGAGAGAGAATAAATTTCTGTTGTTTTAAGCCACCAAGATGGTGGTAATTTATTAAGGCAGACCTAGGAAGCTAATACAAGGACTGAAAATGGTTGCCTTCCAGGAACAGAACTAAAGAATGAGGAAGGGTGGGCAAAAGACTGCTATTTTCTGTCAGTAAAGTTTGATTTTACACTGTTATATGAGGGTAATTCCAAAAGTTCATAGAATTAAAAGTTAATACAAATCTTTCTGCAAATTTTTTGAAAATCCCTTATAATCATAATCATCTTAATAAAACCAACAATCACTTTTAAATTAGCAAATTAAGTCATATTAGAGTATTTTTCCAAAATACCTATCAACTACCTAGTTAAGATCACTCAGACTAAGAGAGTGAAATAACAAGCTCATGCAGGCAGGGAACATGTCTCTCTTGGTCACCACTGAATCCCCAGGGTCTAGCACAGTGCATGGTGCACTTAAGTACTAATAAATATATGATGAATGAATAAATGGACAAAAGAATGAACAATCAATAGATATTGTTGACAAATAATACAAAACTGGTTCTTATTCCCACAAAAAAGATCCAATATCAAAATCTTTTCAATTTAGGTCAGGGTCCTATCACATTAATGTAAAATTATGTACAATTACTATAATTAGTTGTAACCTGTGTATATATTTCATTGATAACTATAATGGCAGCTTTTTAAGGGTTTTCCCCCCCATAAATAACTATGGTTGCACAGTAATATGAAATAAAAATTATATTTTACTTTATTATATAGTTATCTAAAATGGTAATTTTTTAAAACTAATCTCATGCCAGCTCACTTAACTTGACTTTAAATAGCTAGATTTAAATTTAAAATCTCATGCAGAATATTTTCTAGTATGCCAAGTTTACTTTCTGCATGTAACTATTAAGAATACATTAATGGGACTGGCCGGTTAGCTCAGTTGTTTAGAGCTTGATGTTACAACACCAAGGTCAAGGGTTCAGATCCTAATACTGGCCAGCCAACAAAACAAACAAACAAAAAAGAATACATTAATAGCTTTCTTTCCTACAGGATCATTACTTTCTATAAAATACCAATCCAAAAATGTTCAGTTCTGACCTAAAACTTTTGGATTCATTAATACACAGTATTAAGGAAAAAAGTTTTGAAACACCATGCCCCTAAAGAAACAAAATGATATCTTGGAAGAAAAACAGTCTTGAATATTTGAGATTAAGGTTGAATTTAAAAATTCTAAAAACTAGCCAATAATACCTCTATGATACCAGAGAAGTAACTTCACAGTAAAGACAACAGAGTTCTTAAATTCACAGTCTGATAAAAAGATCAACAGCTTTGGGGCAGTTAATTTGCATAGTAACACTTTTGATTTGGGGAGGGTTTTTTTTTATGTCAAGTCTTCAAAAATTACGACGTTCAGAAGCAGTAAATGAAGTCTGAAATCCTTCTGAATATGTAAGATGCAGTGGCCAGTGAACCTAACAATGAATTACATTATTCATTATATATACAAAGAACCAGGAAACCAAGAAAGCAAAAAGGATATGGAAACATAATTCAATAGAAATAACTTTAAAATCAACTTCCAATTTTTGAAAGTATTAGTAAAAACATTCTTCATTTTAAGCAGTACAAACTCTTTAAAAAAGGATACTGTTCATACTCCTCTTACCTTTCTTGTTAATAGACTTTTACGTCTCATTCCACAAGCCTCTAGTTGTAACCTTCCTCTCAATGCTAATTCAATTAACATACAGCCACGCAATCCAGACGATATACAGTCATTCCAAAATGACGTGTAACCCTATTTTTTAAAAAAGAAAGAAAACAAAATAGCTAATTTACCTTGAATTCAGATAAAAAAAATAGAACTATTTTTAGCCAAAGTCCATTTTGGTGCCTTTCACCTTTTATGTCTTTCCGCAATAAAATACTGAAAAAATACAGGGGCTTATTATCTTTTCACCAGTTATCCTTACGTACAGAAAACAACAAATAACTTTGGAGGTCAGATGTTTAGAAATATAACATAATTCGTACTTTACTAAACTATGTGTTTATCAGGCTCTTTCAGATTGCAAACTCCAGGAACACTCTCAGTTAACCTCAGACTACGGTGATTTATTTTTAGGATATGTTGGCAAATTGTAGCCAATTTGGACTCATGGAGAATTAGAACCATCACTCATTCACTGCTGTTTATGATAAAAACACAAGGTTAACTTTGGAAGAACGTATTAGAAAAACACTCATAAGGGCCAATGAATAAAACATTCAGACTGGCCCCAAGAGACAAAATGTAAGGGTAGCATTCAAGGTGGAAGAACAGTCAGACATAAGACAGGTCAACCAGCATCACCAAATGAAGTCAGGACAGTCTTTGAGAGCAAATAAATGGAGTTGTCCAAATTATAAAGACACGATTTTGCCAACAAGGTTGCCAGCTATCAATTTAAGACACCTAGCTCTTATGAGAAAGCAGAAGCTATAAATCATGGTTAAGGCTCTGAACAAGGTAACATGTAATTTTGGTAGGAGGGAGAGCATGCCAATCAAATCTCTGAAGAACAGAGGGCCCAAGATTAGGGAGGCCTGGACCCTTGGATCTGGCACTTTTCCCATGTCAGTTCTGGTACCTTGCCAGGTCAGAGTGGTCAGCTTGTATTTCAGAAAATGACTGACCATCTGGGTCCATGGAACTTCATTATTGATACAGGGATGTAAATTAGCCTCACGAAGCTACACTTGAGAATGAGAGTTTTGGGGGAATGAGAATTTAGATTAAGGGAGCCACAAGGAGAAAAACAAAAATATCAGTTTAAAGAAGCCAACTGAAATGTGAGATATGAGGCAGGGGAACCAGATACTGACAGGATTTGAGGAGATCCTTTTAAACTTAGTAAGTATTAGGGGTCTGATCAAATTAAGATTACCAGAGATTTAACAAAGTGGCTAATAAAAACAGTAATGTATAGAGGTTAGATAAAAATCCACGGCTTGTGTATCCATGACAATTAAAATCCTAGGAAACCTGGGAATGGATCCTACATGATATTACAGTTACAGGGCTGGCTGGTTAGATCAGTTGGTTAGCGCATGGTGCCTGCCGATAACACCAAGCTCCCAGGTTCAATCACTGTACTGGCCAGCCACAAAAAAAAGAAAAAGAAAGAAATTAAAGTTACAGATGTCTGACTTTGACTGGCCTGGACATATAGATGGAGTTCTTAGTGAACCTCTACAAACAACAGAGTACACCTCATGAAGCAGTAACAGACGTGGACAGCCCTACAGCTTGGAAATTCCAGCTGAACAGTACTTAGAAGCTTACAGTTGATATAGTAAAGGACTAAATATGTCTCAATCGCAACTGCTACCAAGGTAACGGCATACCCGGAGATATTAGCAAAACAGGGTCTTTGATAATAGACTCTAGAGATCTACATTTAGTAAATGGCTTTGGGTATTACCACTGAAAGACACATGCTTAAATAGAACTGAATTCACATGGGAAAGTAGATGAGTAGACAGACAGTTCTGCAACAAAGCTTCTGGGACTCACCAGCAATATTCCAAAGATAATTGAAGCCAACAAAGACATACCAAGCAACAGAACAGTCCAGTATACTGATGATCTCCTGCTAAAATCCACATTATAAAAGCATGATCAAGAATTAACTAATGGGGAGAGAGGTATAGAAGAGGTTTTTAAAATGCAGAGTTGAATAAAAATGAAAAGATATAACTGGATCAGATGGCAATGCGACATTTGGGAATTAACTATCTTAGGGGGCAAAGCAGTAGACTGGAAGACAGCCAAGTAAATTTGGTCATGACCCAGGCCTGCACGGTTCTGCATTGAATCCATGTCACAATACAGTGAAACAGAGCACACACTGGCAGGGGAACTACTTACAAAGTCAGAAGCAGGATCACCAACTTGGCCTTGCCAAATGCTGAGGAGCCCTTTAATATTTTATTTCCTTTTTTGTTGTTGTTGGGGGGAAGCAGGGGGCACGGCTGCCAGTATGCAGATCCAAACCTTTAACCTTGGTGTTATAACACCGAGCTCTAACCAAATGAGCTAACCAGCCAGCCCTGATCTTTTAATTTTTAACTAATGCTAACCTTAATACTATATATTTCATCAATTCCAAAACATACATTTTTATAGCTTAGTATTTCTGAAATTGGGGTGCACTTTTAAACATATGACTCCTTAAAATGATATATCAAAGTACAGGTATTGAGCTAACTTAAACACACAGAAGAGAGAAAAGACCTGTGGCATAGGCCTCGCAGGTGCATAGCAGTGGAGAGATGAACTAGGGCCCATCCTGTCAGTTACTGGAGAGTACTTAAAGCTTGGTACAAGATTGGGTGATTGAATGTCCAGATCTAGTCATGCCCGTCAAACTGCCTGACTTTTCAGTAAGGACAATTTTATAAGGGCAGGTCAAAAACAACCACACTGCCCAGAAGACAAACCACTACTCTCTAAGAAACAATTACAAGAACCTGTAGTCTAGGCGGGATGGTTATATATTCAGGGCACAAATGTGTCTGTGCCCCAGCAAAAATCTTACATCCTACCTATCAAGCAGAGCAAAGCAGCAAATTTAACAATGGTAATTAAGTGTCCTTGCAATGTGATTTCTGCCCAGTACTGTGAATGTCAAAGTGAAGAAATTCATTGAAGCACAGGTAAATGGTGGGAGTAACTATGACTCTCTTAAGGTGGCCAAATGCCCCATGATCGAATTAGTGATGTGCAGAATGGATAAACAAGATTCCCACTGTCCCAACCAACCATCCTGCAAAACCACAGCCAACGGAACAGGCTTGGCACAACTGACAGTATGATGATGGCCAGTCCCTGTTGAGCTTGACTGTAGTGCGGCATGGTGATGAGAGGTGAAGAATAAGTGGGAGGCCCCTGGCACCCTCCCCCCGTTTCCACAGGAGGGAGCAGGGGTCTGCTGGCTTTTTTGCAGGCCGCCAGTGAAATATCACTACTCTTATTTTTTCTCTGACCCAGTAAGGGAGGTTGGGGAGTGTGTGTGGGTGGGGGGGGGGGGGGGC